ACAGTCTCTAAGCCTATAACCGATTTCAAATTGGGTGCTAAACACGGGGAACGAGGCCCAAGTGCCGGGATCCGAAAGCCCTCACTAAAGCCGCGAAGCAAGTAATCCGCTGCAGCTCTGTCAGGGTATTTTCTCAGCCAAAAACTAAGCGGACCCACCTTGATTGGGCTGGGGCCCTTTTGGAACATTTCCCTGCCCTGGGTTCCTTTTATTGAACTGCGCACCTCTTGGCCCGGTTCGTGCGGGCTTTCCCTTGTAACAACTCTTGGTAGCGTGGTTGCCCTGGCATATTGCACAGGCATGCTGGTATTTACAGTCCTTACGGGCACAAACTCCCTGAGCCGCGTATACCCAGCACATACTCTTTTGTCTCTGCGGCTGTTGCGCTGGGCCTCCCTGCCGAAAGGGCTGGTTCCCTTTGGCGTTCTGTATAGTGTGGCCACTATCAGCCTTCTCACCAGAGACTGCTCTGGTGGTATTCATCACTTCCATCCATAATTGACTGTCAATGAGATCCCATCTTTTGTCAGGCATTGTGGCGGCCTCCGACCGAAAGCGCCTATCGTAAACCAACCACGCCTGACAAGTGTAGTTGACATAAGCCCCATATATTATATTCTGATATTTAAACAAGGCCTTGGCCCTGTAAGGATGAGCCTCAACCAGCAGGGATGCGTAGATGGTATAGCAGGCTATCCAATTCTTCCAATTCTGCTCAACCCGCCTTCTTTTTAGTAGTATAAGTATAAAGCGCCAGTAAAACGGACTAGCCTCTGTTGTCACCCACTGGTAGCGGGACCAGCATGAACATATGTTCAAGGCTGCCTAGTGCTATTGATCCACTCACATTTTGATGCATCCAAACTGAAAGGAGAAACCGAAATGATATTTAAGCTGGGGCTACATGGGAGCTCACCTTTTATACATGGCCCGAGCCTACGGTTGGGGCCTATGTACCATTACGTCCCTCCATGTTTAACCGAAGCTGCTGTCCTCAGCCGCAACACACACTTACAAATCGCCAGAGCTCACAGCAGGGGACCTTATTTAAGTAATTCTCCTTCCTTCCTGTTTTTTTTTTTTTTGAAATAACCCTCGCGAATTATTATATACCGTATAAGTGAAACCCCCTGCTGGCCGCCGTGACAGCAATCTCAACGCTTGCTTCCAAGTGAATGTGCTAAAGAACGTCCCCTGACCTTCAGACCAGCCCTGTCTAACTCTGGGGTGTGGTGCTCCTTTTCATTTCTAAGTTCAAGCGACACATTGTTCATAGACACCTCCAAGGTCATGCGGCCAGCATGACTATATGGAGTGCTGTTATCTTCCCCCAGCGTGGTACCTATTGATCTATTTACATTTGCATGTTTAAAACTGCTAGCTTGGCATAAGCTAGGGCTAACAGCTGAAGCTCGCGCCTTAAATTGGCTAGGACCGACCCCCCAAATGCCTAATCCAAAATGGCGGCCGCTTCTTCTCCAAAATGGCCGCCACCTAGCACCATGAGGCCAAAAACGAAACTGGCGTCCATGAGGGAAGGAGCCCGCCAGGGCAGTGAAAAAGGTAAGCAACAACTCCTAGGGCCAGGTCGAGGTTGCACCCAAGGCCAGCCCCGGCTGGCCAGCAGCCCCAGGTAACTAGAAGCCGGCCTGCAGCGTGCGGACCCGCCCGCCCAGAGGCCCCCGGCCACGTGGGCGGCTCAAGCGAGCGGCCTAAGAGTGCTGATATCTTCCCCCAGCGCGGTAACTATTGATCTATTCGCATTCGTATGCTTAAAAACTGCTAGGTTAGCATAAGCTAGGGCTGACAGCTGAAGCTCGCGCCCGAAATTGGCTAGGACCGTCCCCCCAAATGTCTACACCAAAATGGCGGCCGCTTCTTCTCAAAAATGGCCGCCACCTAGCACCATGAGGCCAAAAACGAAACTGGCGTCCATAGGGGAAGGGGCCCGCCAGAACAGTGAAAAAGGTAAGTAACGACCCCCAGGGCCCGGTCGAGGTCACGCCCAAGGCCAGCCCCCACTGGCCGACAGCCCCCGGTAACTAGAAGCAGGCCTGCATCGTGCAGACCCGCCCGCCCAGGGGCCCCCGGCCACGTGGGCGGCTCCAGCGAGCGGCCTAAGTCGTCCCAAGCCGCCCCAGGCAGCCAAGATCAGGCCTGTAACGTGCCGCCCAAGCACACGGGGCCACCGGCCGCGTGGGCGGCTACAGCGAGCGGCCAGAGCCGTGCCGCACCAGGCAACCAAAAAACGGGCCTGCAACGTGCAGCCCAAGCGCACAGGGCCACCGGTCCCAAGTGCGGCAGCACCGGGCTTCCAAAACCGCCCCGATTATATCCCGCGCGCGGATGGCCACCTGGAGAGGGGGGGGGTGGTGAGTAAAGAACCAAGCCTTAGTGTTTTCCGCCGCCGCACCTTAGCTTGCGAACACGCAGGCGGCATAAAAACGGGCGGAAAGGGGCAGGAGGAGCGCGGAATAGGAGCGACCCGGTCCCCACGCCCGCTCCCGGTCAGAGCCCACGGATAAGCAGAAACAGGGCGGGGGGTGGGGGTAGGGTCGGACGCTCGACCCCCAAACACGTACTACCACCAGGCCCCGAAGAAAAAACCAATCCTGTGCCGTCCCCACCAGATGCCCAAAGAGGCAAGCCGACGTAAGAGGGGGAAGGGGGGGGGCGTAAACAAGGCCCCACAAAAACACGACCAACTGGGCCCTCCGGAGGGTAGAAGCGAAGCCTTCCCCCCCCAGGGCCCCCGATACCGACCTCAAATTGGTCTTCGTCGTCTGCGCCTCCTTTTTACTTCTCTTCAGATCCTGGTCTCTGTTGTCTTCAGTCTTCGTCTCTCCCCTCTCTCTTCTTATCTTCTCTCTGTTATTCTCCTCTCCACGATCTTTTCTTCCTCAACTCGCCGATCTTCGTTGCTTCTTTCCTTGCCAACTTCCAGGCGCAGAATGAGCCTGGGAGGGCTTGGATTGTGCTCGCAGGCCACGCCCCCGGTTGTTCTGGAGGGTTCTGTTAGAACTCCTCCCTGCCTCGTGTGAGGCAGACAAATGTTTTTCTCTCTCCCCACTTCATGGGGAGATGAAATCTATTAGGTGTAATACCACAAATGATCTGCTTAATGTGCTAATAAAATACATCCTCCTTTTTGTTGTCCCAATCCTATCCCGCCTTTCCCCCTGCAACTATAAGGATCATTTTTTTTCTTGGAATTAAAGAAAAAGATACCAGGTCAATATAATTATAATTTATGACAATGGGCACACCCCCACAGTTGACACAACAAAGCAAATGACTCAGATAGCAGGTTTTAGGTGGCATGAGAGGCAGGTGGAGACTGTGGAGGTATAGCCACATTGATTCCACTAAAGTGGTATAATTTGCCCAGGGTATAAAACAGGATAATGGATATAATGCACAATGATTTGAAGGGCAATGTATAGAAGCCAAAATGACTAAACAAAAGCTATTGTATTTAACTAATTGGGAAATACAATGCTTTTAAAGTGGAAAATGATAGGAAATGAGAAAGAGCATATTACAGATGGATTGATTCAGGGCCCTTCAAAAGTAGTCAAAATGCCGGTTTGTGCCACATTTTGAGACTACACATATGGACAGAACCCCACCGCATTGACACGGAGGGGGCATACAGCCCAATGTGCCAACCTCTCATCGGCCTCCTGCACATGGCCAGTGACACTACTTCATTCCCAGGCCAAGTAAGTAAAGTAAGTAACTAAGTTCCCAGGCCCTATTTTGCCTACAAAACAAAGAGAAAGCCTCCTTAAGTGTTCCTGGAGTCTGTCAATTGTCTTTGTCTCCTGCAGTCATAATGTGTCAGGCCTTGGAGAAGGAAGCCTTCTTCACGAAAGGTGATGCAGGAAATGGACAGCATCCAGGAACAGTTAAGGTTTTGTGGGAAAAATTGGGGCAAGGAGGAGGAAAGGGTGGCACTGCCATCTCAACCCACTGGACTGCCTGAGCCTGAAGAACATAGGATGGCTGTGAAGACAGACACCTAGGATTGTGTATTATGATCCCAGGTGTCTTTCTCCACTGTCTCCATACCTGCAAAATCCAGCTCTTCAAGGAAGATCTGTATCTTTGCAGGTTTTTTTTAACCTGGGTGTAAACTGGATTAAACGGTCTAGTATAGGTCACTCCGTATTAGCCTAAATTGGATGCCCCGGGATAATGCAATTACTATCATACATTATGTGGCAGTGTAGAATCCACAGCCCAAGTTTTCAAGAGCTGAAAATGGTTGCTGATGACCCAAGACTCTTAGAATCGCTTGTTCAGAAGGTTAGTGTAAGTTAAAGCTTAACAGCAAATGTTATCTGCTGCTGTACCTCAGGTTGGGTCAGTATTGATTATTCCTTCTGTTTCAACTGAAATGGGCTACACCACCTCATACTGACCATCATAGCAACACTTCTGTGGAAGGCTACCTATTTTTTAAAATAATGTAAAGTATTTTATTGGCTCTATATCCAGCCTTTCTCCCAAGATAGAATCCAGATGTTCGAAACCAGATTAAATAAAAATCTCATTTTATAAAAGTTTAAAAAGAATTAAATAACAATATATTAAATCCATAGCTAAATAGTTAAAAACACATTTAGAACATAACTACAATTAATTGATGGAAAATAAAAGCCAGCGTGTCATTTCAATTTACATCGCAAAGGTCTGCCCAAATACAAAGGCCTTCACATGCTGATGGGAAGAGTTGTGCTCCCACCAAATGACCACCTGAGCATTTGGTATGTAATTAGTAATCAGGCCATACACACCAAATATTGGGAGACTATCTGCAGGAATTTTAGATGACATGGTGCCACTCTTCCTCCTTGCTTTCTAGCTAAGCTGATGCCAAATCCAAAACAAGGGATTTTTTTTAAAAAAATGACTAACCATCAGAATTCCGATTCTGTCCTAGCCACCCACATTTAAGGACACACATTCAAACCCAAAGGTATCATTTTTTTATTTTTTTAAGTCAAATACAAGATGACAATGTACAAATTCCCCTTCATGCAATATTGAAAACAAGATAAATAATACACAAAGCCACATGTCACTGCTTCCTTGTAACAACAGCAATTATGCATGATGTGGGAAAAGTGGATAAGATGGTGTTTTTCTCTCTTTTCCATCATAGCAGAGCCCTGGGCCATTCACTGGAGATGATTGAGGGTTGGTGCAGAACAGATACAATGAACTACTTCTTTATACAGCACATAGTCAAACTGTAGAATTAACAAAATGGAGGTAAGGTCTACCAACCTGGTTAGTTTAAAAAGAAAAGTAGACACATTCAGAAGATAATGCTATTAAAGCCATTAATCACAATTTGAAGTGCAATATGAATCAGCTTGAATGTATCTGAAAGATAAACTCCCATATCTCCCATGTAGCTTTGGAGATATTCAGAGAAGATCTTTTGGTCAGTGGAGATTCATATAATGCAGTTTAATTGTTTTGATCTGCATTATATGAGGGCCCTTCCATATAGCTACAAAATGCGACTGGAACTGGCATATAAAATGACAGTTCTGAGCCACATTGTGGCCACACCATGTGCTCTAATCCATCTCAGCAGCAGGGAATTGGCCACACAGCTCACCCATGCTGGTGCTGGTTCAGCACAGCTATGAGCACCATTTCCACCCTCCTTGAACCCCCATTCTCCCAGAAAACTGTAAAAGCATGTGTTACCATCACTGCCTGGTCTCAATATCCTGGTTATTGAATCACGAGGAAGCAATAGACCTCTATATGAGTATGCCCCCCCCCCCTTCACAGGTCTGTTGCTTCCTAATGAGCTTGTAGCAATGGCAAACATGCTTTTTGTATTTTTTTTGTGGAATCAGGATGCAGAGAGGCTCGGGAGGCACTGCCAGCCCATCTCCCTGGGCTGTCTGAGCCTGGGGAATGTGGGATGAATTAGCTATAGGGATGCAATCTGGGGTTGTACATGGCAATCTAAGATGGTAGTCAACACTGTCAGAACACCCCTCAAAGGTCTGGGTCTTCCTGGAAGATTTGGATATTTGCTGATTTAAAAAAAACAACAAAGTGGGGTCAAGCTGAATTAAAAGGCTTTAAAAGGATTAAAACACATTAGCCTAGGTATGATGGTTGTTTTCCCCTGGCTAATGCAATTCCTACACTGAATTAAATGCCAGTGTAGATGCTGCCTGAGTCTGCTCTCAGGCTATAGGATAATGTGTCTACTCTCAGGCTATAGGATTCTCTTCCTAGGTAGGTTATGCTGGTTCTGCCTTTATTACCTTCCAGTGCCAAGTGAAACCTTTTTGTTTGTTTTGGCAGGCCTTTGAGAACTGTCAATGAGGGCAGATATTTGAATAATATAAGAAATAATCCATGTTGGTTGCTTTTAAATAGATATGTCAGTAAATTACGTTTAATTTTGTGCATAGCTTAATTATATTATAAGTTATGTACACTTTTACACTGCCTTGTTGAAAAATGCAGGACATAAATAAATACAATAATGCTAATAGTAAATTTCAATTTTCTGCAAAACAAAGTTATGGTGCTCTTGGCATCATTCTCATTCTCATAGGGAACTGTATGAACAGGATGTTAGATTGGTTAGGTCTTCCATCAAATCCAGCATGGCTCTTCTTGTATTTCCTTCCTCGTAAAATCTTAACATGCAAAGAAAAGTGTAACTGCATCAGTCCCTTAGAAGCAATTACATTCTGATATTTGTGCAAAGAAATGAATTCTGCTATTTAGGCCTATTTGATAATAGAATGATGAGTCAGCATGAAAGTAAATTGATTGATTCAGTGAGGGCCCTTCCACACAGCCATGTAACCCTGAATATCAAGACAGAATATTCCACAATATCTGCTTTGAACTGGGTTATCTGAGGGCTTCCACACAACCCTTGATCCCAGGAGCATCCATGTTTAAAAAACACGGATGTTCCTGGGCCCCTATCCCAGAAAGTGTGCACTTTCTGGGGCGGGTATGCAGATGTTCTTCTGGGACTGTCCCGTAAGAACATATGGACACCCTACCCCCTTTCCCGCTCTCCTGGTGTGTCATTTCTATGCACTGGGAGAGCTCTGGCAACACTGTAATTGAGAACAGGTAAGTTTATTTTACTTTTTAAAGGGTTTTGGGGGCTTTGGTGGAGGCAGGTGGGATTCCCACAGTTTTCTAGACTAAATTAGTCCAGAAAACTGTGGGAATGATGTCTGGACTGCAGTCCAGACACTGGAAGTAGTGGGTTTATCCAACGCCTTTCAAGAAAGTGTAGAATAAACCCACTATTTAATTAAAATCGCCACAAACCAGGGTTTTCCTGGTTTGTGGCGAATTAATTGCAGGTTGGCCAGAATGTCATCTGGACAGCTCCCTTTTTATTGTGGAAGTTTCTGCAATAAAGGGGCTGTCTGGATAGGCCCTGAGTCTACACTGCCATATATTCCAATTCAAAGCAGAAAAATATGGGATTTTGTTCAGCTGTATGGAAGGGGCCTGAGTGTACTTTTCCTGGAACAATGGGATTTGGGCTGTTTGTACATTTGAGTCATTAAGACCTAACAGGACAGTATATGAGCTAGCATATTGTCTTTATGCTTATTATTTTATATGCTCAACGTTGTATTCTCTCCCTCTTCTCTTGAAATTACATCTTCCTTGCTGGAAAATATTTATGAGTTAAGCTTTGGGATTCAGACACTTTGGTCTAAATTCATGTAGTCCTTGATTCATTTTATTTTCTATGCAGTGATTATATCATTATGATTAATAGGACAGAATAGAGATGAGGTTATCATGTTAGTTTCAATCTTGATTTGTTAATCAAGCATATTAACTTATCTGAGATCCTTTCACACTATATAGTTATCTCATTATGATTCATTACCATGGCTACATTAATATCCTTGGATTTATGTCCTGGGGTTTGTAGTTTTGCAAATCCTAGGACTCAATAGGATGTCATACCTCCTCTAATTTAGGCACAATCGAAGTGTTGGCTATGATCTATAAAGCTTCAAAATACCCTCCATTATCCCAATTTGGCATGGACAATCATAATTAAATATATCTGGTCCCACACTTTCACCTGATTTTAAAATGCCCCAGTTTCTATTTCCTTCTACTTTTTTTGCCCTCCGCAATATTTCAATGGCTGTGAACGAAGCTCAGGGTACAAAAGTAGTTGGTACTGAATTAATTCAGGCCCCATCTACACTGCCATATTATGCAGCTTAACTGCACTGAAGTGCATTTTATGAGTCTACACAGACCATATAATGCAGTTTCAGATTAGCACCCACCCTATCCACTTTCTGTAAAGACCTTTAAAATGGTTGTTTTAATGTGCCTTTGAATAATAGGTTCACTAGATGAATTCGCCCTTCTAGTCATAAATTAATTTTGGCTCTTGCACTTTACTACAGTCCCTGCCCATGTAGTTGTACTGCACTAATCTGACTTGGTCCTTCCAGCCTTAATTTATCATCTGCCTCTTTCACTTTGCCATCGACCCTGTCCTTGCAGTTGTATTGCACAAGCCTCTGCTCTGCCCCTTAGCTCGTAAATGTCCACAATGCTCGGCTACTGGTTGTTGTATGATGCATTATATTTTTAATTATTTTTATGATGTTTGTATATGTATCTTTATTGCATTATATTTTAACTCTGTTGACTGAGCTTGGTCCATATGTAAGCTGCCCTGAGTCCCTTTGAGGAAATGGTGGCAGGTTACAAAAATAAAGTTATTATATCATTATTATATTACATCATATGATAGTATAGATGTGGTTTCAATAGAGAGTAGGGGACAGGGGAAGAAAAGTGGGATGGAGTCTTGAATTTCCCAACTGGTGAAGGTACCATCAAAGTACTGCAGTTTCTACTATACTGTGCATCCTTTCTCACTTATAGATGAGAAAAGATGTGCAAGACCAACTTGATCACACTTAGATGTTGCTTGACCACATATGTACCTATCTGTGAAATGCTGGAATATATGTCCTATAAAGCTTGGGTGCAGGCTGAGTGACTGTATCTTTTTATGTAAGCCTATCCAATCTCTAAGATATTTTGGGGAGGCATGTCTTTCAGTTTCATATCTTTCACAGGCATATTTGGAGGGAGTGAGGGAGAGGGGCTTTTCCATGGCTGCTCCTATAGCAAGGTTATAATAACAAGGTTTTAATGAGAGTTACTTACCAACATAATTAATTTTGGATATGGAATTGGATACAGGCACTGTCTTGTCCTGCAGGTCTGCTGCCAAATATTTCAGGCCTTCCTGTTTCTTCCACAATGGATCTGAAAGCAAGAGACATGCATGCAGGTTCATCTGAGACCTAGTACTCCAGGGTTGATAAACCTGAACTCTGTTACTAAAAACTGCAGGCTGTTCCTCTATTAGATTGAACATTCACCCACAGGTAGAATCATAGAGTTTAAAAAGACCACAAGGGCCATCCAGTCCAATTCCCTGCCATGCAGGAAAATTCAGGCATATGGGAGGAAGATTCCAGTTTGTATATTGTCAACTTTGTATGAGTAGGAACTTTTTAAAAGTTAAATTTACTGTCTGCCATGTAGTTAATTCAATCTGTTCTGTCATGCCCTGTTCAGATATCAAAGAGGAAGAGCATGTGGAAGAGCCAGTGGCCAAACTTGAAGCTAGCAGCTTCCAGCAGCCACCTACCTTGAAGCTTCTGAAAGTTCCAGTGGCTGAATCTGAGGCTGGCAGTTCCTGGCCAGGTCAAAAAGAATGCTTAGAAATAATTTAAGAGATGTCTGGAAAGGGAGGGGTCCAAGAAATTAGGTTGCCTTTATGAAGAATGCTCAATAATCAAAGAATAGCTGAGAAGTTGAGCCTGTTATAAATACAGTAACTCCCCATCTGACATGGCTGCTTGAGTCTTTGTGTATCTTGACCTCGGCCCTGTTATTACTAATCTTCTGAATAGACTCCTTGATTTATCTCCTATAGAGTATGGGTCAACTCACGTGTCTTTTACTCTCTGGAAACCTGGGGCCCTTCCACACAGCCCCATATCCCAGAATATCATGGCAGAAAATCCCACATTATCTGAGTGTGGACTCAGATAACTCAGTTCAAGGCAGATATTGTGGGATTTTCTGCCTTGATATTCTGGGATATGGGGCTGTGTGGCAGGGCCCTTGTTTTATTTGAGCCTTGAGGAACAGGAGAAGATGGATTTGGCTACTGTTGCTAATTATCTAGAAGAACCACTTTGAACTTCCACTAATTATGACATATTATCTCAGGCTTTTCCAGCTTCCCTTAAAATGTTCCAATTTTTATTGTCCTTATGCCATTATCTTTTTAGCTTACTTCAGTTGATACAAAATCACTTCCAGTAACAAAAGTAGTTTATATTCAATTCACTCAGTGAGGGGAAAGGGCCAAAAAGAAGTTGAAACTTGCCCTTCTGAGGCCTCTTCTACTCTGGCATATAAAATCCAGATTATCTGCTTTAAACTAGGTTATCTGGCAGTGTGGAAGGGGCTTGAGTGGGCTCAGGCAAAAGCAAACTGCTATAGCCTTCCCTGCTTGTGTGTTCTTTCTCATTAATATCCTTTGTCTTCTTGATCACACTCTGATGTTGGAAGATATAATGTTGTGCCATTTCTTCAAGTGATAATGTGCCACCACCACATTCACTCTGAAGTAGGACAGGTTTATAGTTTCAGAACTGCATACTATGGAGTGTGAAACTACCCTTTGTGTTTAATATTGCATAGACTGGTGGGCTTCACTTTCTTTTCACAATCACGAGTGTGTTCCTAACTAACATGATGCTCCATTTTTGGGTCTCTCTGTGTTTTCACACCTAGTTTCTCATAGCCAATTTCTGTGAGTCTTAATTTTAGATGCAAATAAAATATACTGGCACACTAATTCAAGTTTAGCTGCCATTTGGATAGTAAACCAACAAACAGTGGCACTGGAAAATAAGCTATTATTATAGCACTTGAGAATATATTCCAGAGAGCAACAACATATTGGTGGTTACACTTGAATGGTATATAATGTACACAACATCACATTTAGGGCTATTATTCTTTTTTTCTTCTTCATGAGGAGCCTACTACAGGGAAATGTCCTGCCAAGATTTTGCTTTTATAATGCTTCCATACTGATAGAGAATTAACTTTGCTGCCCTCTATAGTACAATTATCAGAAGAGAAACTGCTGCAACCCAAATCAGTGAAATGTGCTTGTACATTATTTCACACCCACAAACTCAGAATTGCCCTCGTTGTATCAGGGAAGTGTGGCCTACCCACGTAATCGTAAATGAAATTCTGATTTGATCTAATCACAGCATTTCTACTTTAGATTAATTGCAATTTTTAAAACAAACATAGATGGATGCTGTAACGATGATGACACCAATTTGTGACGCCACCAGTTTGTAACGGTTTTGTAAAGGAGCCACCACTTTGTAAGGGTTTACTAAATTGATAACGTAGCTAATAGCTAGTAATATTGAATTGGTCTTTCTTCAGAGTGTAGCATGACTTAACTTGGAAAGGATTTGTAACAGAAACCGGGCTTTATAAGAAACTGTAACAAGTTTATTGAAATGTAGCAGAAGCTTGCTGGTTTCAATGTTACTTGACTCTTAGAGGCACATATCTTCAGAGGTTACATTTATAACATTCCTTAAAACAACTCTGGAAAGGACTCTTCCTTCTACTAAACAGGTTTCAAACTTATTTTTCTTCAAACTATGTTTCTTTCCTTAGTAGATTACTTCAGATACAAGCTTATTCCTTCTTTGTGATATTTCTGTTGCAATAAAGATTCTCACTGGTTTTCTCTCACCCCTTCTACTCATACACTAACTACTAATATAAATAAGTCAACTCGACTTATCTAAACCACCTAGGCTAAAAGGCAAAACCTTCCTGATTCTCACTACAGTAGAACCAGCCTTACCCTGTAGTTTTTTAAACTACAGATTACCTTCCTGGTTCTCACTACTACAGACTGACCATTTTAAAATGGCAGCCCTGCCAAGTGGCAGTTGTCTCCGCCCCTTTTTTCCATAGCAACCCAGCTCAAAGTGAGCTGAGCTGGCTACCCCCCCCCCCCAGTAATGCAACTTTAAATACTTACCTCTCTAAACACCTATCTATAACTATACATAACTGTAGATTAAAATTTACACTTCACCACAGATGTAGACTACATTTCTTGTTTCATATTATTTCTAAATTAATACTGATTGAATTATAGTGCTAATAAAAGTGAATATGTTGAGATCCATTGACAAACGTATTAAAATTGATTGACTGCTTGAACTCAAATGCCATGTGTGTGTGTGTGTGTGTGTGTGTTTGTGTCCTTAATTTAATAGCCCCAGAAAAAAATTAAAGGTAATAAGTGGTGTAGAAGTGTGGCTCATGGCTCTTCTAATCATTTTCACATACATGTTTGCATATTTTCCCCCCAAATATCATAAACAAGATTTATTATGGCCAATGACCAGCATCAAAAAGGTACAAGTGACAGGGTGTACAAATGTCAGAGTACACACACATGTACAAACACATGTACATAAATGTACAAACGTCAGGTTACACACACATCCGAGTATCAAGAATCAATGTCAAAGCAAAGTTTAAAACCCAATATTGAATAAGATAATTAAAATGGTATTAAATGTTCAGGTGCTAAAATGACAATGGTAAAACTGAAATATATATTAAAACTTTCTAAGACTGTGAGAGCATCTTGCGGCGACAAGCTATTGCTGTGCACAGAAGCTAGCAACCCTGACAGTGACCTTGGGGTGTTGGTCAGACAAGAGATAATCTATATAAAACCTTACAGATCTTCCTGGTAGACTTTCTAAAATTGGATTTATAAAATGTTTACGAAGGTCGGTAAAAAGAGCAGTACAACAAAACGTGCATATTGAAACATTGGGTCTGCTTATCTAGAGGTTGCATAGTAAGTGTAATTGTTTTTAAACTAAAGTTAAACAGTCACAATGTGGTTTTCAGAATATCACTCATTGTAGCCTGAAAAGAAATACATACTTTCCCAAGTCAGCATGGTCAGGAGGTTTTGGGAACTCTAGTCCTTAATATAACTTTTTCAAGCTCCCGATTCAATTGATTCCAATTATGTAATAGATTGCAACCATCAAATTTGGAAGAGAAATTGCACAAATACAGCTTACATAATTTTCAGAGAATGTAGGAAAACCTTATTCTAACCCCCTAATGCTACCTTATTTCTTCTATGAGAAATGGCAAGTGTGGAATTATTTATTTTATGTTTTTATATGTTTACTCAGAAGTATATCCCACTCAAATGTAACATTCCTAGAAAAGCATGCATGTATTCCAGACATGGGCTTCAAAAAGTACTACAATTTTAACTTAGCTAGATCATTTAGAATGGTTTGAATCACTCCAAAGAAGAACAAATATTTCTGCCAACACCATTCATATTTCATGAATAAATATGACTATCATATGCCTTCCTTCTCTTTTCATTATGAAAAAAAATATTCCAACATTTCTCTTCTTGTTGGCAATAATATCTATCAAGTCTAGAAACATCTTAGTAGTTTATGGATTTCTGATTGGATTGTACTTTTTTGGGCCAAGCCATTTTCCATGTTTCACTGAAAGAAATTCAGTTTATTCCAGGCCTTGAAACATAACATTCTGCACCTCCGTTCCTGACTTCAAGTGGCATTGCAATTACAGTGCAACTACTGCAGACTGAGTCCTGAGTTATGGGGAGAACAAACAGTGGAAGATACTGAATATTTCTTGATTGACTGTCCAGCATATACAGAACTGCAATACAGATATTTACATCCAATATTATCCAACTGTACGTCCCCCAACAGAAATGATCTTCTGACATTCCTCTTGCAAGGACAGGAAAGATCTACTATAATCAGGGTAAGCCTTTTTAATCTTATAATCAGGAAAATAAGATTCTGACTGTAAATAGAAAGTCAGCTGTTGTCCTCTCCTTTTTGCCTTGTCTTTTACTCATGTTGTATTTTGAAATGGTCATATGACTGGTCAAATACATAAGTAAATGCATAATATTACACCCTTATCTATATCTATGTCAAATGTGGAAAGCAATATGAAAAGTAGAGGACCAAAATGCAAACATTTGTTTCAATCTAAAATATCACAGCAGAGTGTCTACAAGACTTGAAGAAGGTAATTGTTGGCTAGGGAACCTGAGGTCTTTCATTCATAGGGTTGTCATAAGTTGATAAGAAACACCAAGGCCAATAAATGTCAAATATACTTATTGAATTATTACTGCAAAATGCCCTGTAACTTTTGACTGATAAAGGAAGAATTGCCTACCAAAACATTTGGCCTGGGTTACAAGAGGAGGAGGAAGCAAACAAACACAAGAGGAAGATGTATCTTAGCCTTGGTGCCATGGTGAGGAATGGGAGAATCACAGATGAGAGACTGACAGCCATATATGGGAGAGTACATGCCAGTTACAGTGCATTGTCAGTGACAGCTGGTTTCTGCTTCTAGGAAGAGAATACCCCTCATGGACCCTCCAATCTGATGCAGGTGGTCCCCCAAAGTCACAGAACAGATTTAGAGGGTTTGGAGAAAACTGAAATTCCAAGGGTTTCACAAGAGGAAACCCATTAAATTATGCTACAGGATGGACACAGTAAGATTTCCTCCCTTCAAATTATTTAGATGCATACTATTATTTTGATCTTATGTTTGGTTGATAATAGCATTACTGCTGCTTGTGATTTTCTTGTATTGTTGCTGTTGTTTTAGGTTGCATTTCATTTACTGTGTTCCTTTATCATATGGCAGGTTACCACACACAATTGCCCAAAACAGAGGTTGGGAGTACCAAATTGCATTGTTAACTGCAACTTGTAATATGTGTGGTGTTACTTCTTAAATTGTGCACCAAATAACAGAAGTATTTATTCATTTATTTATTTCGGGTACTTCTACCCCGCCCTTCTCAACCCCCCCCCCCGGGGGGGGGGGGCGGACTCAGGGCAGCTAATTACTTTGAGGGGAAAAAACAACTTCCCAAATTCTAGCCAAAATGCTGTGGTCACCATTTGATGCTTTTTTCTAGATCACCTGATCACCTGAAGTTAGCTAGGTGATAACTGGGAAAAGTCTATTAGCTTATGTCAAATCCTCCTGCATATCACCTAGCAACCATTTTATGTCATTTCAGTAACAGGAAAATAACTTTTCAAAAAAAAATCTCCCTGGCATTTCAGCATTTAACATAAATTAGTCTTGTAGTTTGACTGAGCAAGTTAAAGGTTATGGTTTTGTTTTAATTGCTGCATCTGCTGTTTCAATTTTGCAGTATTTTATATATTGACTGTTATTTTACTGTGGGCTGCCTTGATTCTTTTGTTGAAGAATAATATCGCAATACTTCTGGTTCATAATCTTATGATGGCAACTAGGTCCCTGCTTACAAAGAGGAAGAAGGGAATATTTAAATTAATACTTACATATATAACTTAATTATTGTTACTTGTCCAGTGAACCCATGGATTAGGACACATGATTGGTCTTTAGATACCTTCTCCAATTTCCAAAGAATAACTAGAATTAGTGTAATTGTATGGAAAAAGATGTTGTAGCACCTTAGAAACTAATTGAAATTCATTGTTAGCATAAGACTTCATATACAAGGCCATGCCCATATGGCCAAAATAATGTGGACTCACTCAATTATTGCATCTAACTGTTAACTCGCATCAAGGGAATGCAGAATGTACTCTATAGCTTCTAGGAAGTTCTGGAGTGATCCCATGGTGTTGGGGAAAGAGACAGCTGGATTGGAATGAATCTGGCCCTATCTCTGTCCACATCACCAATAGGTTTACTGCCTTCCCACCACAAGAATGCCTTTTCATTCTTGTTATTTATTTTCTTTAACAGCTCTCACTGTCTGACATCATGTGAACTGCCCTGGTTCAATGCTACACAAACCCTGGGATTTGTAGTTTGGTGAGGCAGCAGCATTCTTTGGTAGAGAAGGCTAAAGGTCTCAGGCTTCATTGCATTGAGCCAGGGCAGTTAAAGTGGTCTCAAGTTTCATTCATTCTACAGCATAGATGCACCCCAAGGAAGCTGAGGCGGGATGACAGGAAAGGCTCCTTGAGGGAAGGGTTACCTATTTTTCTGGAAATGTTGGTGTTCTAACACTTTTGTTTTTAAAGAAGGAATTCTAAGCACACAGCAACTGTAATGTGCACTTTTTTTGTCAAATTACAAAGAATGTACTTTTTGCAACTCGCAAACCAGCCATTAATGCATGCCTGGCCTGTTCCAACTTATATACAAACATACCCGTTTTGACTTACATTCACATTCAACTTAGGAATGAACCCACAGAATCATATATGTAACCCAAGGATGCCTGTATAATTTTATTTATTTATTTATTTATTTATTTATTTACTGTCCTTGTATACCGCCGTTTCTCAGCCTAAGTGGTGACTCAACGCGGTTTACAACAGAATATACAGTACACAGTATACAATTAAAACCGTAAAAAACATAATACACAATATTTCACATAAATCACAATCCAATACATCTCCTAACTAAAATCGTGGTCCAATTGCATCATCCATATTACCAATCCGTAGTCGACACATTCATTGCACCGAATTAACCAAATGCCTGCTTGAACATCCAAGTTTTTAGTCTTTTTCGGAATACCATCAGCGAGGAGGCTGATCTTACCTCCATGGGAAGGGCGTTCCAGAGCCGAGGGGCCACCACAGAAAAGGCCCTGTCTCTCGTCCCCGCCAGCCGCACCTGTGAAGCAGGCGGGATAGAGAGCAAGGCCTCCCCAGAAGATCTTAGGGTCCTGGTGGGCTGATAGGCCGAGATACGTTCGGATAGGTAGGTTGGGCCAGAACCGTTTAGGGCTTTAAAGGCCAACGCCAGCACTTTGAATTGAGCCCGGTAGCAAATCGGCAGCCAGTGGAGCTGGTGCAGCAAAGGAGTTGTGCGCTCCCTGCGCTCCGCTCCAGTTAGTATCATGGCTGCCGACCGTTGGACTAATTGGAGCTTCCGAGCCGTCTTCAAAGGCAACCCCACGTAGAGAGCGTTGCAGTAGTCTAAACGGGATGTAATAATAAGCATATGTTATTTGTGATCATGTTGTTCATCAGAATGTCCTCAAATGCACCATGGAATAAGAAGATAGTATTTTTCTGGCTGAGAATGAATGGCAGGGGAACTAACCACCAGTCTCAAGGCATGAATGCATATTTTCTGTTCATTCATTACTTTCCTCACTAAGTTTTGTTTCTCAAGTAATTGGGCAATATCTATTTACATACATCAGGCTAACCTCTGTCTCATGTATTCATGCCTCATTTCCTTACTTAATGCCTTTTCATTCTTGTTATTTATTTTCTTTAATATTACATTTCCAGTATATAACAGGATGAGTCACCCTCATTGCCATCTTTTAGCAGTACCCCCCAAGGGCCATGAAACAGTAAGGAGATTGTAAAAAGATTTCCCACCTAGTCAGAGGAGCTAACCTTTATTTTAATGGCATTTGGATTAGAACAGTGTTCCAGTTGGTGGAAATGTATTCATAACAAGAACCCTCCAAAGTAGGCTGATAGCCACACTTGTTTTTCCATTCTTTTCTCTGGGAGGATGACATAGCACATGGCACAACATAACTGATGTAAGAGTTACTCACATTTACAATTCTGTTAAGACTTACATACCTCATGAAACATGAAGAAAAGCATGTATGCCAACTCATTAGCACAAGGAATGCCAAATTTAGGTTGAATGTTCCATCAGGTGCATTAGTCAGATTCAAGAACAGACATTCTGGGTATTTTAATATGGTCTCTCTTTTTTAAAAAAAATCACCCACTCTTATTTCTCGCTAATATCAGGGTCAGGAAAATGAACAGCAGAAGGAGGCAGACCCTGTAGTTATCAAAAAAGAACTAGTATACATGGCTCAATAACTGATTTCAAAAAGTGAAGATCTGTCAAAACAAACTTTTTTCAGTTTGAAGGGGACAAAAAGAAGCCATCCTAATTTGCCTAGAAAGAGATTTCCAAAGTGTGGGAACAGCCACAAAAGGCATCCATTTCTACTTTCTCACTAAATGGACTTATCAAGGTACTGATACAAAGAGAAGTGCTCCCCTGAATATTCAAAATATCAGACAGGCTCATATGGGAAGGTATCCCTTTAAAGAGTTTGAATCGGAGCCTCTACAACTTACTGGAAATGTGTAGAAGCAAAAGTCTCAAAACATATCACATGCAGATAGAGGGCAGATCTAGACCGCTCCTTTATTGAGGAAGCTTCCACAATAAAAAAGGGGGCTGTCTGGACAACATTCTGGGCAACCCAGAATTAATTTGCTACAAACCAAGAAAATCCTGGCTTTTGGCGAATTAATTAGGTAGTGGGTTTACTCCACACCTTCTTGGAAGTTGGAAGATAAACTCAATACTTCCAGTGTCTGGACTGCAGAATACCGCAGTCCAGACAATATTCCAACAGTTGTCAAGGCTAAATTAGCACAGAAAGCTGTGGCAATACCAACCCCCTCCCCAGAAGCCCCCCTAAACTGAGCAAAAAGGAACTCACCTGCCTCCATGGGACAGCTGCCCAAGTTCTCCTGGTGCATACAAATGATGTGCCAGGAGAAAGTGGGGGAGAGGAACAATTTTCCTGCTCATCCCACTTTCTCCTGGAGCATCATTTGTATGCACCAGGAGAACTCTGGCAGCCATCCCAGGGAAGCCAGATGAGCTCTTTTATTTTTAAACTCAGTTTAAGGCTGCTTCTGGGGAGGGGGGTTAAGTGTCCCAGTGTTGTACTGGGAAGTCCCAGTACAACATCTGCTTTCTGCAGTGAGTTTGAAGAGGGCCCCAGGAACATTCATGGTTTTAAAACACGGATACTCCTGGAATAAAACCCTGTCAGAAAAGGCCCAGAGAGAACAGCTAAATATATGCTGGTAGCTGTCCACAACTAAATTTATAATTGGTCATTTTATTGATCCCATGTAGTCATGACAGAGAGAAACCAAGCAACTTCAATTTATCCCATCGTTATGCCTTTCTGATCCAGTTATTCCTATTATTTTTAATCTGTATTTGAGAATATTTACTTGATCATTTATATTTAAATGTAATGTGATTTTGCTAATTCCTGCTTTCAGAATCATATTTATAATAATAAACCTTATTGTAAATGTTTATGTTCAAAGCTTGGTGTTTATATGCGTCAATGTTTTATAGAATTTAAGAAATGAATTCCAAGGAATTTATCATTTTACAGAAAGATTTCATGAATATCTCAGCAATTTTTACATTGTAGAATTAGACACAGAGTCCCTGAATTATTTATGCTCTATCAAAGAAAGAGTAATGTCTCATTGGAACATAATCCCCACTCTTCTCATGATTTGTAAGAATATCCTTTGTGGCTCGGTTATCACTGTGTGCTAATAATACATCGTATTCCCGATGTGCTCCTAAACCTTGGGAAAGTAAAGTGAAACATTGCTCATTTCAAGATCAGTTACTACAAACAGATTAATTTCTTTTTTCATACACTGGCTAAATATTACCTCTATGATAAGAGATGTAACCTGTTCTGAAAGAAAGGAAAAGCTAAGAGTCGGAAATGAAGGTACATAAATTCAGGAAGAACATGTAATCTCAGGGTTTGTGCTGCACTAATTTCATGAATGGATCTACAGACGTCACTGAAATTAACTATTATGTATCTCAGTTAGTAATGTTTGGGCCTTATTTTTTTATCATCATCAGCTTGTTCATGAATGTGGTAAGTGAATAGACTATGTAAGTGAGGATAGACTGTCAAGTTTGAGAAATTTACCTTTTTTGGCTTCCAAGTCCCAGAATACACTGGCCAGCATGGCAAAACCTCAGCTATGAGCCCAAGTCCTCTCTCGTTTATAATGTATTAATTCAGCAATAGTAAGACTAAGGTTAGTTGAGTTCAGTCAGAGCTTGGGAAACTTAATTTCTCTGAGATGTTCTGGGAACTGTGGTCCAAAAAGATAACCGCTTTTGCCCTTTGTTCACCAAAACTGATCCCAGATTTTTTAAAAAAAATCCATCATTATGGTTACATAGGCTTGTGCTACTTACCTGATGTTCATAGCACTGTGTTGGTATAAAGCAAATGTTTATTAAGTACACAGAAGTTTCACCAGAAAAAAAAATATTGACAAGGTGTAAATAATATTCCCTGCAAAATTCTGCCTCTCAAAAACATGTTAACTATTGCTAAGAAAAACACATTTTCTTTAATGAATGGTGAAAAACCTTTTATTACTTTTTTTCCAAACAAAATCTTGGCACACTCAATGGGCAGTTTGTTATGTACATTTAAATACGCGTATAAGCAGATCCCCCCCCCCCCCGTGGACATTGTTATTTGTAATATTTTTAATAATTATTTGTAAAATTTAAATTTTAAATGTATTATTTATTTACAATAAATAACTCCAAGGGCTGTATGAAACAAGTGATGAAGCTGAAGTTTAAAAATAAAAATAAAATGTACATGTTATTTTCTTCATAGAAATAAGAGGTATTTTTCTTGCTTTAAACATATACATCTACCACAAAGCAGTCTGAATTCATTTATGTTTCTCTTTTGTACTGTCCCAATGACTAAGAACTGGTTATTAGGCTTGTGCATTTCAGCTGAACCTTGAGCCGTTTATGCTATCCTTATTGGGGGGGGGGGGGCACGGTTCTGTTTTTGTATGACTCTTGAAAATGGGTGGGTGCCCGCATGTGCATTTTTGGCCTGAAACCGGACAATGTGGCTAGATCTGATCCATTGGCGGCAATGGGGGCCTTCACAGGCTCCCCTTCCCATCATTTTTAAGGCTATCAGGATGGAAATGCCCACAATTGGAGGACACATCTACTACTGCTGGCCCACCAAGTTTCATAACATTTGGGTCATCCCATGATTTTTAGGATTTTTTATGCTTTCTAGAAATAAAATCTTAAAAAATCCCGAAAAGGTATCCCCCTCTGGCCCTGCCCTGTAATTTCTCCAAGAGCAGCAGCGGGGCACCATTCCTTCCTGCCAAATGTAAAAGATGCACTTCCACATACAGCCCACTATTATAGTTTCTATACTAAAAAAAACCCCAGCAATTTCTTCCAAAGTTTTAGCAATATGCATTTCTTATTCTCACAACATACTGGAAAAGGCCAGCAGTCCACCATTCACAAGCAAACGAGCAAACAGCATGTTTCCTTAATAGAAAAATACTACTGATCCACTGGTAAAAAAAATATTTTCAAAATGTATTGTGGGAAATCTAACTATGTTTGAAAAAAAACTTTTATAGAGCATAATATATTATTTAAGTCTTAGTGTTTCAGATCTTCACTGATTCAGAAAGGCAAGACAGCAGCTTCAAAAAAGGCCAATGGAGGGGCTCAGGGACAAGGGGAGAAGGATGACTTCAGGTCAGGCAGGCAGTGGCTGGCAACTGGAGAAGATGGGGACTGGCACTGCTGACTGTGCCTGGCTGATTTCTGCATCCACCCCTTAAGTTAACCACAGCTCTCCAAACAAGGACACAGTGGGGCATGTGCTAGTTGCCAGCATGCCTTTACCCGCTGGCCACCCTGCCCCACAAAGAGCAAATCAGTCACCTAAGGAAGGAAAGGAGAGGGAGGGGTGGAGATGAACCCCATGATGGCGTGGATGCTTTCTGGGGGAAGGAGTAGAATGTTGGAGCCTCCCAGCTGTCTAACTGGCCCACCAGCCTACACTGCTAAAGCTGGCAGCCATAGTAACATACCATCACTTCTTTAGGAGACTGACTTCCTCCTTGAGACTGCTCTCAGCTGCAGCTGCTCTACTATACAGCCACCCTGAGTTTCTGGAAAAAGCAAAAGTTATTGTTACTGTGTGCATGCAACAAAACCTCTAAGGGATTTCCCCAAGGACCAGGCAATCACCACATTGTAGGTTTGCCGGGGGGGGGGGGTGTTCTTGAATTCCTGATGTGTATAGGGTAACCAATGGCCTTCTTTAGAAGATTGACTCGCTCCTTGAGACAGCTGTCAACTGCAGCTGCTCTGCTGTATAGCCACCCTGATTTTCAAAACCAAAAGCTGAAAGTTGTTATATGCTTTCCCAGGATTCCAAGAGCACCACCCACTACAGGACCCACAAGGCATACTCAAAGGGAGGAGGTAAACATGAAAAGAGAGAAGCAACTGACTGTCACCACCTGGGTGACACCACACCCATCTATTCCCAGGAACCAAGGAATCTAGAGGTACAGGGTAACTGATGGCCTTCTTTAAGAAAATGACTCACTTCCTGAGATAGTTGTCAGCTGCCGTATCCAGCCAGCCATCCTGACTTGTAGGGGAAAGTAAAAGTTACTGTTGGCTGTGCTGGACACCACATGAGAGTTAAGAGAGAGGTAGTTTAATTTGAGTTGGGGAAAAAAAAGAATATTTTTTTAAACAGGGGATAAAAGAAAGAAAAGAGAAGTTACGAGAACAAGTGAGCCAGCCTGCCATGCTGACTCACTCACTGTACATTGGGTTCAAGATCCAGAAAGCCCAGCAGTGGGAGATTAACTTTTAAGGAACAACATCTGTTCTACCGTAGCAGGGTTCATCTGGCTTAATTGAGGGCTAACATAACATCTTCTCTCCAGCCATGCTGAAGAGTTTCTCACTAGCCCATCACATACAGTGAGGTGGAGCTTGTGCGCCAGACACGACACACCTGGAAACCCAATGTCTTTGACACCCATACCACATTGGTCCCGGATTCTTCACCACAAAACCAGGCATGAGTGCATTTATTTGTCGTGTCAGGACAACCAGTCAAATTATATTACATTTCTAACAGAACAAAGCAAACAAACAGACAAAATACAGAATTTGTGAGTTTGGTAGTTGATTAAATGTCCTTTGACCAGTATTTGGCCACTTGGAGTGCTTCTGGTGTTGCTGCAAGAAGGTCCTCCATTGTGCATGTGGCAGGGCTCAGGTTGCATTGCAGCAGGTGGTCAGTGGTTTGCTCCTCTCCACACTCGCATGTCGAAGATTCCACTTTGTAGCCCCATTTCTGAAGGTTGGCTCTGCATCTCGTGGTGCCAGAGCGCAGTCTGTTCAGCGCCTTCCAAGTCGCCCAGTCCTCTGTGTGCCCAGGGGGGAGTCTCTCATTTGGTATCAGCCATTGGTTGAGGTTCTGGGTTTGAGCTGCCACTTTTGGACTCTCGCTTGCTGAGGTGTTCCAGCGAGTGTCTCTGTAGATCTTAGAAAACTATTTCTAGATTTAAGTCGTTGACGTGCTGGCTGATACCCAAACAGGGGATGAGCTGGAGATGTCTCTGCCTTGGTCCTTTCACTATTGGCTGCTACTTTCCGGTGGATGTCAGGTGGTGCAATACCAGCTAAGCAGTGTAATGGCATGAATGTGAGCAGCCGCCTCTCACAATTGATATCTTGAGAGCATTGGTGGGTCCCAAGTCAACAAAGTTGTCAAAGAATGGGACAAGCGACATGCAATTCCTTATAGTTCTGACTTGCATGAAACTTTTCTAATAAAATGTGGAGCTGAGATAGAGCATCCAACTGTGGTGTCCCATGCCAAGGATGACAATAAAATTTCTGTTGCATCCTATGATTCCACAATTCTGT